ATTTAGAGTCTAGCTTCAACGAACCATGAAAATTTCTGAATAATATGCAAGTAGATGAAAATCATATGGTGCGTGAGCTAGCAAATTATTATATGCAATCTTCTTATAAAATGTCGATTAGCAATTACAACTTGCAATATGAATACATAAGTTCAAGCCTAAAGCTTCGGAATGTCACTTCTTTATGAGAATGATAAGCAATGAACTTTGAAGTGTATGACTCAACCCATGAACCAAATAAGATAATCTCCAATTACCGGGAAATAAACACTTTGCGCCAAATATTTTATACATGCCTTTTATGACTTTTAGATCGATAGGAAACTTCAAAATCTCACATGCATATATACACACATAGCGACTGTCCCAAAAAAGGGAAAAAAAAAAAGAAAACAAATAAGAAAGCAGATTCCATAGATTCTCCAAAATTTTTTTTTGGAAATGTCTGATAAGTTAAAGCAAATTCCATAGACTCATTCACTAACAAGCTTGAAATTCCTTTCATAATCCATGTGAAGTAATATCAATATTAACGAGAGGAAGCTCTGTAATCAAATCAGGCATAATGTAGAAAAAATTGTTTAAAGCCAAGTATCTCATGAAATCCTCAAGAAACAAAACTTGACTTTTCTCTCCCTATTTTTTATAAGCCACCGATAAAGCCACGGATTTTTTTTTTTTTCATATAAAATCAAACTAAAGAGGCACCATGAGAATTAAAATGAGGAGAAAAGAGAGGGGAAAAAGTTACCCCTTGAGGCAGAACCAAAGAAAATGCAAGAATAAACCCCACAAAATTTCAGCAGCACCTCTCCCTTCCTCTGAAAATTTCGGCCTACCATAGGAACTCCCCAAAATGAGGTTTATATAGTCAGAGAAGAGGAGATGCATTTCGCGTCACTTACCTGGGCGGTGAGCCGAGGCAAGAGAAACGACAAGTCGCGCGGGAGAAAAGACGACGAGAATCGCAGAGCGGGGGCGTGGGAGGGGAAAGCCGGAGCGCGACTGGAGTAGGTGAAGACAGAGCGCGTGGTGGCAGGGAACGACCTTTAGGCAGAGCGATAGGCATACGAGGAGGGGACCTCGGGTTGATTTCTCGCGACGAAGAGGAGTTTCGGCTGAGGTGAATGCGGGAGAAAGAGGCGGACGTGGGAGGAAGAGGCGGACGCGAGAGGAAGAGGCGGACGGGCTAGGGCTCGGGGGCGGACGATTTGGGGGGTGG